CACATCTTTTCAGTGTGCAGAGGTACATATTTTCCTCATCAGTTTGTAAAGGAAGGAAGTGGTTTGGGTGGGACCAGCCTAAAACAGGTTAGGAAAATTAAGGCACAATAATATTCAACCAATGGGACAAGTCTGTCGTGAGCAAGTTCTAAGCTCACACGGACATCCCCGAGACACAGGTGCAAGCGGCGAACATGCTCAGGGAAGACATGTGTCCTTGCGTGCTGGAAGGCCCAGAGAACAGGGAACAGAAACAGACTGTGTAATTAAGCACAAAATTGCAGAGGCCCACGGGAGAGGCGACTTTTAGAATCCCTGGGCTAAGACCAGACAGTTTAATACCAGGGCTGGATTCCCGACTCCTGCTGACCCGAAGTCTATGACGGGAGAGTCACCTGGAGGCCGTGCACAGGAGGGGAGAGGGAGCCGCAGCTTGGGGCGGGCGGGGGGGGGGGTCATATGCAGAGATCTCAGATATCTTTCTGCCAGAGTGTCTCATTCCCTCTGCCTCACATGCCTGGAACGGAGACCAAAACCTCTGAGAGGGGAGCCACTTTGGATGGACTCCACTCCCTCCCACGGATGCGGGTCACGGGAGGGGAAGGGGCCAGGGCAGTTGCCCTGGGAGCAGGTGGGGCTTGTCAGATGCAGACCGCCGTGCCCGACAACCGAAGCTAGCAGCGTGGGGCAGGTCTGGAAGCCAGTGGCGGTGACAAGGGCGCAGGAGGAGCTGAGCTTCGGGATTAGAGAACCGGCGGGCGGTGTGGACGGCCGCAACCAGCACCACCGTCAGCCCTTCCATGCGGATCACAGAACAGTTGACAAAGAGCTTTCTGTTCCTGAACTTTCGCATGTCACTGGCGGGGGGGCGGGGCGGCCCGGTGGAACTTACCCTGGTTTTGGGTTCAGTTGCCTAGAAACACGCTGGATGGTTTGTTTCTTTGTATTTTATATTCGACACATCAGTGAAAGCATATGGTTCTTGTCCCTTTCCATCTGACTTACTTCAGTTAGCATAATACCTTCCAGATCCATCCACGCTGTCACAAATGGCCAGTCTTTACCTTTCTACGGCTGAGTAGAATTCCATTGCCTGTGTGTGCCCGTGTTCTTTAGGTGCTCATCCGCTGAAGGAGAAAAACAAAGCACACTCGGACACACACAACAGAATGCTGATTACCGGGGGAGAAGGGGCTGTGAGGAGAGGGGAAGAGAGTAAAGGGTCAAATCCATGACGATGGAAGGAGACGCGACTTCCGCAGGTGGCGCGCGCACACGAGGGTGGTCAGAGATTTCGAGTCACCGGGCTGTCTGTACATCTGAAATCTGGATAATGCTGTTAACCAGTGCCACTCCAGTAGGTTAGGAGAAAACGGGCCGGGCCGGTGGGAAGGCAGGGTCAGGACCCCGGGCACCAAGCACCTGCACCGCCGCTGCAGCAGCCCGTGCGGCTCCGGTCGGTTCCCGTGGTTCGTTAGGGAAGTGGAACCGGGCTGTAAGCAAGGCAGGCACACGTGTCCCTAGGGCAGAAGGACAAATATGGCATAAGAAACCGCAGTTACTGAGGGGGGAATGGAAGGGCTGGAAAGGTGTGCCCGCTCGGAAAAAGCTACTCCCTTCTGGGATAAGTGGGGAGCCGCCTGGAAGGTGCGCGGGTGCCCACGGGACACTGCTGGCCGGTGCTGCCCAGGTAGGGGCTGACCTCTCCCGACCCCGAGCGTTTGGGGACTGCGGGGTTCACAAAGGCACGCTTCCCGGCGCGCCCCACGGAGGGTGGGAGCGAGGTGGCCCCGCCCCGCCCCGAGACCGGCGGAGCGCCCTCTGCCACCCCAGGCAGCCCGCCGGGGCAGAGGGAAGCGCGGGCCCGCCCAGGTGCGCCGGGGGTTGGGCAGAGTCCGGAAGGTGCGCCGCCCAGCTCCGGGCCCGTCCCCTCGGCCTCCCCCCGCGTGAAAGCGAAAGTGTCGGCGGTCCGGAGGTCGGCACGGGGGCGGGGCCGGCGCGGACCTGGGAGCGGGCGCCGGGCTCTGGAGGGGCCATGGATGGGCTCGGCCGCCGCCTCCGAGCCAGCCTGAGACTGAAGCGCGGCCGTGGGGGTTAGTGCCGGGCCGGGGCGCGGGGCGAGGGCGCGGTGGCAGCGCGGGGACCGCGGTTAGGACACAAGGTGACCGCGGCAGGGGCCGGGGCCGGGGCCGGAGGCGCGGAGTGTCGGGATCCGGGAGCAATCTGCCGCGTCTTCGGGAGGGCTGGGCAGGGCTCAGGTGCGCGGAGAGAGGGCGCAGGTAGGGGTGGACGGGGCCTGGTGGGGACAAGGTCGGAGGTCAGAGGAGTGGCCGGCCAAGGGGGGGGGGTGGTGAAAGAGGAGGCGGCGGGGCAGAGGAAACCGTGGTGGGGCCCCGGGGACACGTGTCCTTCCATCCAGGAAGCTTGCGGTGCGACCGCAGGGTGCCTGGAGCGCCCTCCCGAGAGACCCCGCCCCAGCCCCGGGGTGCCCGCCGCCCCGCCCCGCCCCGCCCCGCCGCGCGGCGCGCCCCCGCACCGCTGGTAGCTACCCGCCAGAAACACTGGCCTCCCGGGCGACGTGGAGCCCCCGCCCCGGGCCGTCGAGGGGCTGCGGAGCGTGTGGCCGCGAGCAGAGCTGCGGCGGCGCCCGCTCAGCGGCAGCCGCGGGGTGTGAGAGCCAGGCAAGCCCCGCCCCCGGGCCCCCCTGGGCGAAGGGAGAATTCCTCCCAGCGTTGCGGGGTCACGTTCGAAGTCGATGCCCATTTCCTTCTTTCTTAGCGGGGCCACTGCTCTTTGGAAAGAGGGCAAATAGAAATTCGTTGATTTTTTTTTCATTCATTCAGCGAACATTTATTGCTGGTTGCCTCTAGCCAGTCCTGCGGCTGAGCAGCCCGGGATCCTCAGCGCCCTGCCCAGGGGTCGGGCTGTCAGAGGGGAACGCAGCCCGTCGGCCCGCGCAGACCCACCCCCACCCCCAGCACTGGCAAATGGAAAGGCTGAACCAGGCCACCCCTGCGCCCCAGCCCAGAGCCGGGGAGGCCTGGGGCTGCTGCCATCGCCCCTGCCCTCCGCCCCCAGCCACCCCTACCCCGTTCTGTCTGAACCCGGGTTCCGTATCCGTCGTTTCACCCTCAGCGAGGCAGAGAGGTCAGAGGCCACGGGTGGGGACAAAGGTCTGGGACTGTGCAGTGGCCCGAGCGGAATGCAGGGTGGGGCTGCTGTCCCCGATTCCTGGAGGACTTGGCCTGGTCTTTCCTGGCCTCCCCCGACCCTGAGACGGCTGTGTGAATGGAAGGGGTCCTCTTCCTCAGCCCAGAGGAGACAGTGCAGTCATGCCCACCCACCCTGGCCCCCCAGACGAGGCGGTGTTTGTGCCCAAGGCGCCTCCTGGACGTTGAGGAACTGGAAGATCAGCCGCCAGTGCTACCTGTCCTGAGGTCTGCCACCTGGACAGTGTGCCCTCTCCATCCTCCATACCTGGGGTCTGTCCTGCACCCTCCTGGGGAGCTCCACGTCCCTCCAGGGCAGTGGTGTGGTAGGAGTGGGCGTGTGCGTGCGTGTGTGTACACACAGGGATGTGTAAATCATCCTGGTGGGAGGAGTGGCAACGGGGGTGGTCCTGGGTTGCCAGCAGCTGAGCTAGAAGAGCAGGGGCCGGCTTTTCAGAGAAAGCATGCAAACACTCCTCACGGGCACTCCAGCTGGTTCTGGGACTTTCCTCAGGTAGCTGTGGGAGGAGCTTGCGGGTGGAGGAACAAGTGTAACCGGACTCCTGGCTTCCTTAGAAAGGGTGGCTCCCTCCGCAATTAAAAACCCAGGGTACTGATTCCTTCCCAGGGCACTGGGGACTAGCCCAGATGACCCAGATGAAATGTGCCCGTGTGGCGGATGTGCCTCCTCGGCTGATAACCCCCTGGAAAGACAGAAGGAAGTCATCCTCCTGGATTTCCTGGGCCTCACCCTCCAAGTCCAGTCACGTTTCGTTTGCGTTCATGAGTTTTGCTGTGCCCCTGGCTAGGCTGGTGGAGCAGAAGGGGGTGAGTGGGCTGTAAATTGCAGCTCGAAGGACCCGAGGTTCTGGGACCATCGGTGAAGAGATGTGGGTCCTCCAACGGGAGCACCCCACGTCGGTGGGACGTTCTGTGTGTGCTGTGTCCAGAAGGCAGGAGCGAGGGAACAGGACTCTCGCCATTCCCACCCCCAGCAGATCCCGTTAACAGTCCCTGGATTACGCTGTGCCTCAGTTTCCCCCTGAGTATCAGCCAGGTGCTTATTCCTCAGACAGGTGGTGAGGACTGGGCGACAAGTCTGCGCAAGGAGTGGTGAGCGTTCTGAGCGCCTGGGGTCACTGTCTCACCCTGACAGCATGCGCCGCCTCCTTAGTTACCGCGGTAGGGGTTCTCGCAGGAGTCCTGCTGGGGCCACTGAGCGCTGGCTTCTGTTAGTCCCGGGGAAGCCGGGCCCAAAGCGCTTAAGAGCAAGGCAGCCAGCCGTCTCCTGCATTCCAGCACCCCACTTTCTTCCAGTGGGCTGCTGATTCTCTGCAGGAGTGGCAGGCTCTGGCATCAAACGTTTTTAAAGCCTCCTGGCTTCTGTTGGGTGCAGCTCCCTGGCCAAAGTGCTTCCCTCCTACTTCGTGGGTTCACTCACCCGGCGGTTTCTGTGAGACTCCTAGGCGGTTTATTGCTGCTCTCTCTCTCTCTCTCTTTCCTACCCTCCAGACATAGCCTCCAGAAGCCTCTAGAGCCCCAGGGGCCAGTTGCTCTGCTTTTAGTTAAGCAGAACTGTTGACCTGGCCCAACAGAAAAAAAGTCTGAGCAGGAGTGGGGGTGGGGTGGAGATCACCCCCATGTTTTTGACTTCCACTGAGCGACCCTCAGGCTGCCGAGGCAACCAGTTCACCACTGTAGGCCAGGGACACTGTCCAGAGTCAGTGCCTCCAATCTGCAAGAGGGATCCCCTGCTGGGACCCCAGAACAGGTCCCAGTGAGAGGGTCTGTCTCAGGAGGTGTTGCCAGGCTGAGAGAGGTGGTCCCTTGCAGATCGGGAGTATCAGGAGCTCTCAGTTCAGAGACGGACTTTGCTTCCACTTCACCACCAGGAGAGGAGGCTTTTTAGTTTTGTCTTGATGTCCAGGTTTCCCTCTTACTGGAACAATTTCTCCGTTTAGATATCAGGGAAAGCAATGGCATCCTCGGCGTGGGGAGTGTTTGGTCCTGTGCTCTGGCTTGCAGCCCAAAAGTCCCGGAAGTTCTGACGTGCAGCAGGTGGCCCCGCAGGGGGTTGGGGCAGCTCTTGGCCAGGTTGGGACGCGCAAGGCCAAGAATCAAAGTTAGGGGTTAGGAGATCGGGGTCCCACGACCAGCCCAGTGAGGTTCCAGTGCCCACGGTCTGATCTTATCTCGAATCCTTCTCTTGCCTGAGACTGTAAATAAACCCTCGGTACAACCTGCAGCCCAGAATTCAAAGCCCTGCGCAGCTGGGCCTTGGAGGTGTTTACTCACGACCTTTTGTCTCACCACACCCCGGGGTTCTTGGGAGGAGCTGAGGTCTGAGCTGCCGAGCCAGGATGCTGCTGCCTCTGTCAGTGCAGGCGTCCTGCCGCCTTCCTGGGTCCCGTCACATCCTCCTTGCCCAACCATTGGGTGCCCAGCATGGAAACTGCTCCCCCTCATCTGGAAGACAACGTGGGGCTCGCCTTCACGGCGCTGCGGTCGGACACTGAAGCAGCGGCCCCTTGCTCAGGCGTTCTGTAGCCAGCCTGTGTTGGAGGGAAGGGCAGCGCCCCATGCCCTCGCAGGCCCGGGGAGCTGGAAGGACGAGGGGCAGGCGGGATGCTCAGGCTGTTTGGCAAACGGCTGCCTTGGCTGCCTCGACTCCAAGCAGGTCTGGACTGGGCTGCCCACTTCCCTTTTTCCACGGTGGCTCTCTTCCATGGGGCTGTTTCTTCCTTGAAATACTTCTTTTTTTCTTCCTTTTGTATCTGGGCCGCCACCTAGGGCCCCACGTGACTGGGCTGGGAGGCTTTCTGTGCTGGTTTCTAGGGCCTGTCAGGCCCCTTGGGGTGGGGAGGATTGGTGTGGCCACAGCCACACGGCTATGGACCTCCTGTGCTTTAGTGAGCTCAGGGCTACTCGGTGCATGCGGTTTCGGGCCCCGTGCTGGGCACCCTGTAGGTGGACAGAGTCCCTGCGGCACCCTGGGCACAGGGCCTCCCGGGGGGCCTCCCCAGTACATTTCCTTGGCTTCCACAGCAGTGGTTTCTTTTCTCCGCCGGCTCCGAGTGATGTCACGTCTCCCAGGGCAGGCACGGAAACTGCCCACTTGGCTCGGGTCCTATTCCAGAATCTGAGGCCCCGGGCACGCTCCAGGGGCCTCGGCGTTGCTGGGGTGGTGGGGGTGGGGAGTGCCGAGGTTGCCCGTGGCCCTGCAGTCTCTGCTTGGGGCGCGGATCTCCGAGACAGTGAGTGGGCCCCATGTCTGGTTTTAGGGTCTGTCCAGGGCGATCGGGGGGAAGCTGCCAAGGAGCCAGAAAGGGCCTCAGAGCACTGTCTGCCCGGCCTCAGCGGAGGGCAGCACTTCTTTGAATACCTCCTCGTGGTTTCCCTCAAAAAACAGCGCTCAGGGGAGAGCTATGAGCCTACGATCACCTACCAGTTTCCCAAGGTAAGACCTGCAGGAGGGGCGGAGGCGGAGGACAGGGTGTCTGAGAGGCAGCGGGTGGTGCGGGGCCCTCTCTCCGCCCGGCCCGGGCTGGCTCAGTCTGGAGCTGCCCTGAGCTTGCCCACTCCCGTCTCCCCGTAGGCCCGGCCCTGTGTTCTGTTATCGCCCGGAGAATCTAGGTCTGGTTTCTTTGCAAGGCCCTGACCTAGGCACTCTAGCTGGGAAACTAGGCTAGTTCTTCTGCCCCTTTCTGGACCTCCTAGTTCTCCCAGATTCCATCCCCAGCCACCCTTCTCTGTAGAGAAGCTTACCGTCTTACCAGAGCTCCTGGCAGGCACCCCCTCCCTGGGCTGGGTGGCAAGGAGAGGGTGGGGCAGCCACGCGCTGAGCTCCTCGTCTGCTCCTGCACTGGGTGACAGAGATTTTCACTGACCCTGAAAGTGTGACAAGTGAGCTGGCCATGTGTCTTCTTGATGTGGTATGTCACCGACGGGGTCCCTGCAGGAAGCTGGGCGGTCCCTGGGCCTTCTGTATTCAGGTGTGGCCCCCGTCCCCTTCCTGACTACGTAGATCCTCGAGACACTGAAGTCTGTCTGATTCTGGCTCAAGTAGACCTGGCCCGGGAGGGGCCGTTTCTGCCCTGGGGTCGTTCCTGCCAGGCCCAGAACCAAGTCCCCATGCAGAGTGGCCAGCAGAGGCACGCTGTGACCCCTCGCCAGTGGAAAGCTCACTCTCAGACTGCTTTAGAGTCTCAGGAGGGGCCCACCCGCCCTCCAGCCCTCTCCGGCCGCACCCACGTGCACCGGGGGCTCATCTCCTTTCCTGTCCCTTCCAGCGGGAGAACCTGCTTCGGGGTCAGCAGGAGGAGGAGGAGCGTCTGCTCAGTGCCATCCCTTTGTTTTGCTTCCCGGATGGGAACGAGTGGGCACCACTCACTGAGTATCCCAGGTAACTGCTCGGCCCTGCGATGGGAACTCTGGGATTGGCGGGGAAGGGACAATGTGAGCCTTGTGGCTGCTCTGGTCCCTCACTGGGTGGGTACGCCCATTTCTCACCAGCTTTCCTCCTGATGGGGAGGGATCCAGGTCATTCATTTATAACCATCTTGCCTGGGGTCCCTCAAGACCAAGGATCGTAGCTAACCCGGTTGACCAGTTGCCTCTGTGCAGAGGAGGGTGAGGTTCCCTCTGCTGTGCCAGGAGTGGCAGGCTCTGTGTTTTCACTCCGCCACCGTCAGAGCTGGACTTAGAAGAAGGCCCTTGGCCTCTAAGAAGGTGGCACAGCAAAGTCCCTGATAGAATGAGCCCCAGAATTTGGCTGTGAGTTTGAATTTTGGCTTTGCCATGTATGAGCTCAACGACCTTGGATAAGAGGTGTCCCCTCCGCCTCAGTTCCTTCAACTTCAAAGTGGGCACAATCATCAAACCTGTCCCAACGGGTTGTTCTGAGAGTTAAATGAGATGATGCATTCGGGGCTTGACATCAATAAGCACTTAATACGCTCCTTGTACTGTTACCGCTCTCATGGCAAACTGGCAGCTCCCTGAGCCCTCCTCACCCCCTCCACCCACCCCCTCGCTCTACCCCACCCTTCCCACACTGACCACCTTCTGTCTTGCAGCCTAGGGAGCAAATGAACATCTCCTGTGCTCTTCCTCAGGGAGACCTTCTCCTTCGTCCTGACCAACGTGGATGGGAGCAGGAAGATCGGATACTGCAGGCGCCTCCTGGTCTGTGCAGCTCAGAACCGCCCCCTCCTCTCTGCAGCCCGCTCGGCTCCACAGCTGGGCTGGCTCAAGCCTCGGCTGCCAGAGCCCGGGCTCCCTGGCGGCGGTGGCTGTAGTGAGAGCGCAGCCCAGCACCGGTGGCCATGTTAGTGCCCCTGCAGCCCCACAGGGACAGGGAGGCCACTGCCCGCCCGCCCAGGGGCCTCTGCCGGCCCTGCCGTGGTCTTTGCTCTCCCTGCTCCCACCGGCTGCCCTCGGTGGGAGGCTCCAGCCTACTCCTCTGGGCCTTCTCATCCAGACCTCCGGGCCTTGGCCCGGGGGCCTCCCAGAGCACAGACCGGAGTTTGAACACTTACTCTGGCTCTCGGGGTCTCCAGGTCACTTTCACAGTGCTGTCCTCCCTCACCACTTCCTCATCCTGCAACACACTTGCCCCCTCTCTCCGCCGACCCCGGATGACCGCAGTGCTTGCCTGTGAGCCCGCTAGCCCCCCTTGACTTTGGCGGCTGCTCTGGCCTCCTTGCAGCCTGAGAGCCATGACCGGGGCCTCTGTACAGCCAGGCCTTCCTCCACCCAGCCCACCTTTGACCATGAGTCCCCCAGCCCCAGCCACCAGCTTCGTGCATGGGTGGGGACTCGGCTGGGGATGGGCGATAAGAAACAGGCAGATGGAGGCCGCAGGTAGAGATATGGGACAGGCACAGGAAAATGAGGCGGGCGGTGGGGAGGCAAGCAGCGGGGGCGTGGGTGAAGGCCCTGGGGAGGCCGCAGCCCTGAAGGAGACTCTCCGCCCCCAGCCTGCCGGCCCGGGCCCTCGGCTCCCCAAGGTGTACTGCATCATCAGCTGCATCGGCTGCTTCGGCCTGTTCTCCAAGGTAGGGCCCAAAAGGGATTCCTCGGGGGGTGGGGTCCTGCTGGGACTGTTCAGCTCCCCAGTCTGCCCGGCTGCCTGCCCCGCCAAGCTCCCTAAGCCCTTAGGGAGCGCTGCCCTCACAGCCGGGGTCACGTGAGGCCCACATGGGGAAACTGAGGCAGACAGGGGTTTGGGCCTGACTTGACTTCAGAGAAAAGCGAGAACTGAATCCAGGGGCCCATCTGCCCTGCCGAGTGCCCAGGGCCCCCACTCCGGTCAAGTCGGAAAGCAGCTGGAGGGACAGGGGGAGGGGCCCCAGGTCGGGGACAGGGAATTTTCCGTTTCTTCGTCTGTCACATGCATATTAATGACCTCGCACCTTCCCAGCTCATGGCTGGTGTGAGGCTCAGGTGAGGTGGCCCGTGAGGAAGGCGGAGCTCTAAGAAACGTGGAGACAATTGTCATACAACGTCAGACTCCCTCCCACTCCTCCCTGGGCCTCCGGGACCCCTGCTGGAGCTCCTCTGAGAGCCAGCACCCCGAGGTGGGGTCAGAGTGGGCCCTCAGAACGGACGGGGCGCAAAAGTGTGCTGTGCCCGAGCCGGCCCCTTGGAGGATGAAGACAGGGACCTCCGTCAGCCCCTGCTTGGGTGGGGCATTTACCTGTGCAGGGTGCTGGGGGCCAGGGCTGGCCCTGGCCTTGGGGAGTACCCGGTGGAAGTTGGAGGGCAGAGTGGTGCCCGAGAGCAGCCTCCTAGGCTCCCACTGCACCCCACATAAATGAAGTGGTATCCCGTGGTTGATGCGTTTACTCTGGGATGACTTCCTGGGGGAGGCAGTTTATGCTGATGTCAGGAGAAGGGAGAATATGGATGGGTTGAGGGTGGATGAAAAGGAGAGGCTGGGGAAAAGCACTAGGCTGGTTGTGCCAGGGTGGAGAAAGGACCAGCTGGTGAAGGGGCCGGGAAGAGCCACAAAGATTGGCTGGACCCAATCGGGAGCCTCACACAGGTGGTGTCTGGTGTCCACACAGTCACGGCCCTTTGAGCCACGCCTCCCTTTGAGCCACACCTCCCTTTGAGCCATGCTGCCTGTGGTCCTTTTCCGCAGATCCTGGACGAGGTGGAGAAGAGGCACCAGATCTCCGTGGCGGTCATCTACCCGTTCATGCAGGGCCTCCGGGAGGCGGCCTTCCCTGCCCCCGGGAAGACCGTCACTCTCAAGAGCTTCATCCCTGACTCGGGCACTGAGGTGGGTTCCAAAGAAGGCCCCCCGCCCCCGGCCGGAGGGGGCAGGTTTCTGTAGTGTCTCTAACCACAGTCCTTCTCTTCACCGGGTTAACACTCAGAGAGACGAAGCCAGGCCCGGAACCTGGGTCTTGGCTGGATTTATTGGTGGAGCTGAAAATCAAAACCAAGGTTTCCGGCCCTCCCAACCTGATGCTCTTAAGGACCTGGTCACTGTTCAAGCCACCAAGACTTAAAAAAAAAAAAGATTTTATTTATTTTTAGAAAGGGAAAGGGAGGGAGAGAGGGAAGGAAACATCAATGTGTGCTTGCCTCCTGTGCGCCACCTACTGGAGACCTGGCCTGCAACCCAGGCATGTGCCCTGACTGGGAATCGAACCAGTGACCCTTTGGTTCACAGACCTGCACTCAATCCACTGAGCCATATCAGCCAGGGCAAGTCTTTTATTTATACTAAATAAACCACGTGAGCAGAGGTTCCTGGTGCTAGAATGGACTATGCCTCCAGCCCCCAACCTGCCAGGTGCCTGCACACCCCACCCTCGTTTCCCTGTATCTCTACCTGTGGGCTCCATCTGTCTATGTCTTATTGCCCCTCCCCACCCCTGAGGCCCCGCCCATGCCACCCAGGATGCCATTGTTTTCAGGCACCAAGCAGACAGAGCAGAAAGTAGAACATTGGTTCTTGCTTTTGCTTTTTAAAAACTTAATAGTTTTTCCCCCTTTTTATTGAATTTATTGGGTTGACACTGGCTAACAAAATTATGCTGGTTTCTGGTGCACAATTCCATAAGCCATCCTCTGCACACGGTACTGCGTGTTCACCACCCCAGCTCAGGTCTCCTTCCGTCACCGCTTACCCAGAATATTGCTTTAAGGATTGCAGTGCTGGCCCCGTTCCCCTGGGTAACTGCGGGCCCCTCTGGTCCTTGGCGCCCCCACATGTACACAAGGGGAGGGGCGGGGCTTCTTCACTCACTCAGAAAGTAAGTGTGCAATGCTTGCTGGGCACCGAGCTTCACTCGTTTCTGGCTCTCACACGGTGAATAAAATGAACCTGATCCCCCACCTCACGGAGCTAAAAGTCTGGTGGGGGAGACGGACGTTCACTAAGGGAACAGACGAATATGTCATTAAAAATTGTATGATTGTGACAATGGGGAGAAAACCCAGGTGCTGAGTGAGAAATGGCGGAGAACACACATCGCATCAGGTGGCCAAGGGGGGCCTCTGAGGCTTGAGGGGCCATAAGAAGGGAGGGAGAAGGGCAGTGCAGGGAGGTCCTAACATGGAAAGTGCAGGACTTGCCCGAGGACAGGAAGGAGGTGATGGGGCGGAGCCCGGCCAGGGCGGTGGCGTGCGCTCTGGGAGGCTAGGACGGAGGCTGGACCTCTCGGGCCATTCAAGGGAGGATGACGTCTCTGTTACCCCCAGGAGGAGGGAACCCATGGGTGGGTTTTTCTCAGGAGAGAGAGAGAGAGCAGATTCACCCCGTGCGGACAGTGGAGGCAGGCAAGGACCCAGCATTCTGGGGTCTGCGAGGTGTCTCAGCGCGGTGACGCCCTCTCTCTCTGGCTTCCCCAAGTTCATCTCCTTGACGCGGCCCCTGGACTCCCACCTGGAACACGTGGACTTTAGTTCTCTGCTGGAGTGCCTCAGCTTCGAACAGATTCTTCAGATCTTCGCCTCGGCGGTGCTGGAGAGAAGGATCATCTTCCTGGCCGAAGGTCTCAGGTGGGTCCGGCCACTGAGCAGCTCGGCTGCACTGCGTGGCGTCCTCGGGGTCAAGGGGACAGCTGCGAGGCCCTCACAGGGTCAGGCTGTTGGACCCGTGTGCTCCGCTTCTGGGCCTTGATCCGCGCTGCTTCTGCCTCCAAACTCGACTGGGACCCCCGCTGAAGCAGGGATCTGATTTAGCTCTGAGAAGGTCCCGGCGTGTCCCAGGGACAGCCCGGGCCGACACCTTGCGGGTGGGTGCAGGTATGACCCTGCTCTTGGAAGGCTGAGGGAGGGAAGGAGGGCGAGGACGGGGCAGGGCGGAACATAATGGAATGGAGGTCAAGGCCATTATCCACAAGGACAAACACACGTCATCTATCCAGTCGCTCGTTCAACACTGACTGTGTGTCAGCTGTCTGTCCTGTGCCAAGCAGTCAGGAGGATACAGACAAACGACACATGGTCTTTGTCCTGAAAGGGATGTAGAATTCTCTAGAAGTTGAAAGCATAGGTGTTTAAATCAGCAGAAGGAGGTTCAAGTGCTGTTCTTCCGCTTCAGCGATGTGGTTGGTTCCCTTAGGTCAGCTTCTTCACTTCTCGAGGCCATGACTGCCTTGTGGGGAAAGTGTGGGGAAGATGGTAGGACCCGTCTCACCAGGTTGGGGCGAGGACTGCGTGGCCCGCACCAGGCTCAGGTTAGCAGGGAGAGCTGATACGCTGAGTAATAAGCTCCCAGCTCGGCACGTGCCTGTGTGTCGTTGCAGCAGGACGCTGCCATGTCTCGGGCTGAGAAGGACAGCGGGACACACGGGGCAGAGGGAGGAGGAAAAAGTATCACAAAACAGTGGGAGGTTCGCCTTCTCTTCGTGTCTTGGGAGGGAGAAAGCCGGTGATATCGGCCGACTGCTCTGACTCTACCTTTTAGGGCAGAAGAAGAAGGAGAAAAGGATGTGAGGGACCCAAACGTTAGGCCAGAGACGGTCAGGTGAATGTCATAAGTTTAAGAGAGAAGCGAGCTCGGGCAGGGAGTGGGCTGGAAGGCACTCGTTGCTGGCGACTCTGCGAGGGAAGTGGTGTAACCTTGTGTTTTGGCCGTAGCTCCTCCCCTCCCGGCCCTGCTGGGAAAGGCGAGGCCTCCCTGGGGCTGGAGCTAGGATGCTGGCCCTTCCCCTCCCTCCGATCAGTGCTTAGGATGCAAACGTGACCGCAGGTGTCAGCAGCCTGGACAGGGCAAAGCCCGCCAGGACTTCCCTCTCAGATCTTCACTTTCTCCGGGACATCCCACCTCTCCCTACTTCCTTCCCGCACCCTGGCTGGATTCCTGAAATGCGGGCAGGGAGGGGACTTCCAGGCAGCCTGAGCCCGGGCGGGCGAGACTCGAGACTCACGGAGACTCTGCCTCACTCAGGAAGTGCTCCGCTAGCTTGATAGCAAGAACTGCAACAAGGTTTCCGCATCTGTGTTTTCGTTGGCTGTGCTCTGGGGGTCACCAGGAGAGATGAGGCCCTGTGGAAGCCGGAGGGGAACAGGGATGAGTGGGGCTATGCGTGAGGGTGGGTGGGGAGTGGGTGAGGAGCTGGCCTGAGTTGGGACTTAGGAAGTCATTCCCTGGGAAGGCTTCACTGGAGAGGGCCGAGGGCCCCCTCTGTGGGACTTTCCGGGTAGGAATTGCTGGGAGAGGTTCCTGGAATCCCGGAATTTCCCAGGCTAACTCAGCCACCCGCCTGATAGCTTGAAGTAACCTCGAGTGGCCAGAGGTAAACACTGCGCCCCAATGTTTATGTGTTTGTCTCCTTAACTACACTGAGAGTTCCTTAAAAGCAGGGCAGAGTCTTGCACTTCCTGCTCTCCACGCCCTTAGCACAGTGGTGAGCACGCAGAAGGATGCTCTGTGCATGATCTGTTTGAGCAACGGCATTGCTCCTGCCCTCCCCTCTGTAGAGCCACTTTTATTTTTGTCCAGTGGTGAGCTCAGAAGCCTGAGAAATAGGGACCGAGAGGCCCCGTCCTGGAGCGCAGCCTCAGCCTCTCCTGGTCTCTGCCCCACCCCTCCCAGCTGGGAAGAGTCCCACATGACCAGCACGGCACTCAGACCCGCCTCTGCACCTGCGCTGGCGGCACGCGAAGCAGCCGCTGTGGGTGGTGGGCAGCGTGGGGGTCCCGGGGGAGGAGGCGCAGGGGGCCCGCCCTGACTCTCGTTCTCTGCACCCCGTCCCCAGCACCCTGTCTCAGTGCATCCACGCCGCCGCCGCGCTGCTCTACCCCTTCAGCTGGGCACACACCTACATCCCCGTCGTCCCCGAGAGCCTCCTGGCCACCGTCTGCTGCCCCACCCCCTTCATGGTCGGCGTCCAGATGCGCTTCCAGCAGGAGGTTATGGAGAGCCCCATGGAAGAGGTACGGCCCAGCAGGCAGAGGCCGTGATCTGGGGCCTGGCAGACCTGGATTCGAACCCCAGCTCGGCCGCTCAGGGCTGTGTGATCTGGGGCAGGTTGCTTTTCCTCCTGAAGCCTGAGCTGCTGCTTCCGTAAAATGGGGGCGACAGTGTCCAGTTCCTCAGGATTCTGGGGGAAGTCACCCACGTGAAGTTCCTCGCCGGTGCCGACACATAGCTGATGCTCAGTAAGCGTCAGCTGTCTCCTCCTCGGTGATGTCCCTTCGGGCCTCAAGGGCAGCACGTAGCTTCCTGAGGGGTCAGCCGACCGTCCCAGGCCAGCTGGCCCCACTGGCAGGCCCTGGGGTGACCCCTGTCCCATCCGAATGGCTGAGCACAGCTGGTCTACACAGCACACCAGCCCCTGGAGTTCACGCACATCCCTTGGACAGGAGCCAACGAATGTAGCCCTACTGAAAACCGAATCTTGAAAATGCAGGTTTCTGTAGCCTGAGCTCTTTTTCCGGCGAGCTCGGCGCCCCATGGCCAATCAGGGGATAGCCCTGTGGTTTTGCCCGCTGACTCTGGGGCGGTGCCCCCGACACCCCCAGCGAGCTCAGTGGTGGAAACGGACACTCAGAGCACACGTTGACCCCCAGGGTTGGAAAGACAACTCAGAACGTGTGTCCCACTTGGAGCTGTCAGCAGGGGCTGCCAAGGGTTAGCATGTTACGTATCTCAGGCAAGAAGAGCTGCCTAGGTCTGCGTGTCTGCACTGGCTGACCTTGACTGTGTCTCCATCCAAAAATGTCCATCCCCTGGACATGCTGGAGGCGCAGGGAGAACCCAGAGTGCTGCTGGGAAGGAAAGAAGTGTTTCTCTTCCTTACTTCCTGGCCCTCCCAGCCCTTGTCAGAACTGCTGAGTACACACGCCCTTTGAACGAGCCTGTGCCTTGTGACTCACTGGGACAGAGTGTCAGCCCTGTGTTTAGCAATGAGACCTAAAATGTCTCAATGTCATTAGTTACGAAACTTCCTGACTCGGCAGTTCCATTTTTTCAGACACTGTGGCTCCTCCCGCAGAGGGCCGGGCGGGAAGACACCCCCAGGCCAGCGGGACTCTGCGCCTGCCACTCAACAGCCTTGGCCTGCTTTTTGCAGCAGTGGCTGCTCTGAAATGGGCAGGGGCTACGGCGGGTGTGGGGTTCCCCCGACTCCCCACATAAGCTTTCTGGAAGGGATTACTTGGCAGTAATATACTCAAATACTAGAAAGATTTTGGGGAAAAAACCTCACAAAAAACAAAATTCTTCTCCCTCATGCTTAGCTCCCAACCCCCGAAACAAACAGTCTTCCCTGAATGAAGGCAGGTGAGCCGCGCCCAGTGGTTTCAGGTGTGGGCTGGCTCGCCTTCTCCCCCCTGAGCGGGGCCCACCCCCGCGCCCGCTCTGTCCCTCGGCTCGCTCTCCAGTCCCCCTTTTCCTTGTATTGGAAGAAGGGAGCACGGAGGGGCCGTCCACCCGGTTGTCAAGAGCGAAGGGTCCAAACTGAGAGGAGGAGCCCCGCAGGTCACTTGGCTGGCGGGGGGCGTGGCGAGGGGCGGGGCAAACTGTCGAGCACGTGCTGAGCCCCAGGGGGCAGCTGCACTCAGCTCCCTCTGAATGTCGCTCTTCAGAAGTGAGGGCCAGTGTTAGACTGACTTTTCAAAAGCCCCAAGTTCCAAATTCTACGTGACATTTCCCAGTTTAAACACTGGACACAAATTCAGTTGTTTGAGAATGTCCAGAGGATCCGAGAAACAGCTGCAGGCTGGAATCCCAGCTGCGGTGGGACCGCTCTCCGTGACGTCAGCTCTCGGGCAGGGAGGGGGCCGGCCCCGAACCCAGGCCCCGAGTGCCGAGTGCCGGCCCGTCTCACCTGCAGCCTGCAGACACGTGGTCTCCGCACTGCCCTCCCTTCCCTCTTCTGGGCCACCCGGCGCCCCCTTTCTCCTCTGGCGGTCTCCCAAAGTCGGAGGGAGTTTTTGGCCGCCTGCAAGCACGTACAGGTGGAAAGGTGTCCATCCATCCCTGTCCTAACGCCGACCCAGGGGACGGGGCTGACAGCGAGTGCAGGGAGAGGGACTCCCCCCTGAGCATGGGGCCGTCTGGGCGTGGAGCTGACACTTCTACCCGTCAGCAGTATGACTTCAGGCCACTTCTCTGAGTCGGGGTGCACCTGCCTCCACAGCACTGCTGGGAGGGTTAAGTGAGATAAATGTGCAAAGCACTTGTCTTGTTCTAATACTCCCACCTGTAGAAACAATTACTTTGCTCAGTGCTTACCTAGGCGGGGAGTGGCTACGATGTCCCCACACTGTGTTCCCCTCTCCCCCAGCTGTGTCCCCTTTCCTACACCCTCACCCCCTCTCCCAGGGAAGGGAACTGAGACTTCCAAGCCGGGATGGTGGGAAGGGAGCGTCAGACAGGAAATGAGAATTGAAGAGGCTGATATTGTGGGTCCTTGGGCTGCAGTGGTCACGTGGGCCCCTCTGAGGTCTATGAAGACAGGGGAGGAGATAAAGCCATTTCCGTGTTTCTTTCAGGTCCTGCTGGTGAATCTTTGTGAAGGAACCTTCTTAAAGTCTGTGAGTATCTGGGCTCGCTGCAGGCTCACTGCCAACTGCCCCACTCCAGCCTCACCCACGCTCTACTTCTTCCAACTTAAGCACTTTTGTGGAGCGAGAACCCATGCTCCTAGGCCCTCTCCTCCCTCGGGGGGCCCGTGACAGACACCCAGGTGACTTCACAAGGCAACCCGTATATTTAGGGCAAGGGTGTAAACCAATACCAGAGGGGTCTCGAGGAAACTCACTCATGTTTACAAACTGAAGACTTAGAAACAGCCTCTGTTGTTCTTCTCCTGTGTGGCCGACTATTAATTTGGGGGTGCAGTGGGGGGTGCTCACTCCACGCCTCCCCCCTGACTGCCTGACCTCTGAGCTGACCCTGTCCCCCACTAGGTTGGTGACGAAAAAGACATCCTCCCGCCCAAGCTTCAGGATGACATCTTGAGCTCGCTCAGTCAGGGGATCGATGAGTCCCACAGTAAGTCCCGGGCCCCCTTACTTGGGGTTTCTCCACACATCCCGAGGGCATGATTCCCAGCCACTCTTCCAGAACTTTACACGAACCTACTGCACAGGCCTGGGCCAGTCCCAGAGGCCTGGATCCCAGGGCAAGTCTGAGCTTTTCTTCTTCCTCGGCAGTGGTAGAGCAGCCATGCCCAGCCTCCTGCTTTAATGAGTCAATCAGTAATTATGGGCCCCCCGCCCCCCACTCCCCGGAGCTTTCGGCCTGCTCCTGCTACCCTGAGGTGGCCTCTGTGTGTCCCCTCGCAGCTTCTGAAAAAATCAACGAGCACGTTTCAGGCCCCTTCGTGCAGTTCTTTGTCAAGACCGTGGGTCACTACGCTTCCCACATCAAGCGGGAATCGAGTGGGCAAGGCCACTTCCAAGAACGGGCCTTCTGCAAGGCTCTGACCTCCAAGGCCAAGCGGCGGTTCGTGAAGAAGTTCGTGAAGACACAGCTCTTCTCCCTCTTCATCCAGGAGGCTGAGAAGAGCAAGAACCCTCCTGCAGGTATGTCTCTGGCCCTGAGCGAGGTGAGGCCCTGGGAATAGCGCTGATCTCATCAGTGAAGTTGTAAGATCACCTGAAGGCCCGGGACATGCGCCCTGGGCTGACATTTTGTAGCAGTTGCTTTCTTCCTCAGCCAGCGGGAGGTCCTTGGTCTTTGAGTCTGGAGCTAATTCCTACTAATTATCCCTTGTAGGCCCGTTCTGGGGCCAAATGCAATAGTGGCCTGGAGGGCGTGGGAGTTCCCCAGCAAGAATGTGGGTGTAGCAGGGGAGCTTGGGGAGCGGAGGGCACAAAGGCTGTTTCTGAGTCTGGCCCCGGAGCCCCGCAGCCCGCCAGGCCAGATGAGACACCTCTAACACCGGCATCTGGACCCGCAGGCTATTTCCAACGGAAAATACTTGAATACGAGGAACAGAAGAAACAGAAGAACCCAAGGGAGAGGACTGTGAAGTAAGGCCTGTGCTGAGCAGCAGGGACTCTATCTGCAGGCCGGTCCTGGACTCGGGCCTGGGACGACGTGGTAGACCGGCGGAGCGCTGGGCCCCGGGAGACCAGGGAGTCTCCTTCCGCGTCTTGCTTCAAGCTGACGTCTTGAGTTTGGGATCCTCGGAATCTGCTTTCTCAAGACCTGGGAAGCCTTGACCTCTGAGCTCACAGAGCAGCGCTCACTTTCTGCAGAGGTGATACAGAGCAGCGAACAGTAGCCCAGGTGTTGTAGAGACTCTGAAGCTGCTGTAGCCGCCCTGTCCCAGGAGCCGCCATCAGCAAATCCTCCAGGGAAAGCAGTTGTGGACACGTGAGGATAAGAATAAAATGAAAATCCTCTTGTGGTTTGTTTGTGTTATCGTGGGCTTCCACGGCTGGGGGAGGACCAGAAAAACAAGGGGGCAGATGTGAGAATACACCACCAGCAATGGGGGAACTGGCGGTCCCGGTGGCCCGGAGCTCTGGGGCTGTGTCTGAGCGGCAGAATTCTAGGGGTCCCCAGCTCCAGCTCCGGCAGGACGGGGAAGGGATGCAGGTACAAGCAGCTGCCGCACTGGGGGCAGGGCAGCAGCTCCTGGTTCCCGACAGGTACGCCTCTCAGCATCCTGGGAGGCCGGGCTGCCGGCCAGAGCGAGCCGACCCCAGTCCCGGGTAACTGGAGGGCAGGAATCACGGCGGACGGAAGCAGGCGCGGAGCACTGCGCTGCTTCCATAAACGGGCCTGCCTGCCCCTCACGGCCCGATCGGAACCTGCAGTTTCAGACACCCGGCTTCCCACTTGGTACTTTGGGAAACCCAGCCCTGGTCTTCAGAGGGATCCCCGGGCTGACTTTCTTTCCTCTTAAGAAGAGAGAATCCTAGGAGTCCGAAGGAGGTTAGCGGTCGCCTTGTCTGCCTTCCCTGTACATCATTACTACGTTCTGCTGAAACAGTGGGAGGATGGTGAACGTTTAGAAGCTTCTTGTCTTCCAAAACCTCCACCTCCTTACTGTGTGTGTGCACGCGAGTGTGGCCCCCGAGGCCCCAGCACTCCGGACAAAAAATGCAAACGTCTTTGGAGGGCGGGACACCTACAACGAAAGGCCCATCGAGAAGAGGCCGAACACAGCTCCATGTTTCCGTTAAACACAGTTCTGAGCTGAACAGTTTATACGGAGCAGAAAGGTCACAGGTCGCATAATGACAATGCAGCCGACCAGGTGTTCTCATTGATTAAAGAACAGAAATAAAGTTTGCTTCAAGTTTTAAAAATGACTGAAAACTTAGTTTATCTTTCCACTGAATAAAACCGAGAAAAAGGCTGGCTTTCAGATCATATATTTATTTAAAAAAATAAAATGGATCGACAAAGGTACCACATTATTCCGCATGCTGACAGGGTTCCCCAGCCCGTGAGAGACACCGCTTCCTGAACAGTAAAAAAATGTCCTCCTCAACAATGTGAAGAGGGGAAACCGTTCCATCCAAATTCAAGGTCTTTATCACCAGGTCCACCTTGCCAGCTGGTGGGACATGTCTGTGCCATAAGCTGAGCTCCTTAGTAAAGAAAGGTTGAGAAGACACTAAACAGAGATGTCGCCGAAAGATGATTTGTTAAAATGACAAAGCAACCGTCTTCTGGCCTGCATATGTTCTATGTAAGAAATCACCGCTGGGGATCTGCCCCCGTGACAATTTTATTCCGAGTCCAGGACAGTTACAAACGCAGGCATTTCTTCCTGCATGCTTTCTTGGGCCAAATCCTGTATCACCAACGCATACATTTCAAGGACAGGACTTGAATTCCCATTCTCACAAAGGACCATTAAGGAGTGTTACCAATAACAAAGAATAAAAGTCATACAACAGTGATTATTATAAATTATATTTGTTCTTGTCCTCCCCACATTGATTCTTTCCTGCAGAAAGCATGAGTTTCCGGCACAACGCCAATCACATCCCTAGTGATGATTAGACTGGGCTGCAGAGGCCTTGATTCTGAAGACGTGTATGTGTAGGTGAGACGCGATCTGATTGCAGACGCTGACACAGTAGCGGATCAAGTCGAAGAAAGATAAGACCTGGAAAGGAGGGAGACAATTAGACAGGTTCCCGGGCCTGCCCCAGCCTCGCCTAAGCGTGCGGAGGAACGGCTTCTGACCCCGGGCTCTGCAGACTCGCCCTCAGCTCCGTGCACCCTAGTGACCCGGCATCCCGCCGATTCTTCCTCTACGTCAAGGATCAGCAGACGCTCTCTCTGCGAGACGGCCGTCATCTCACGTTTTGCAGACCACACCGTCTCCGTCACCAAAGCCCCGCCCTGCCATCGCAGCGTGAGAACAGCCACGGACAACAGGTACACGCGTGGCCGTGGCTGTGCCCCAGTGAAACCGTGTTTACAAAATCAGGCCGCTGGCCCACAGGGAAGTTTGCCAACTCCCGCCAGATATAGGGAATGTATAAGCCCTCACACAGGCAGAATTAATAATAGTGCAAAAAATGGCTCGAAGACAAAGCCACAAGGAACTCCCACAAAAGTCCCACAAAATGTGGTTTTGACATTCCAAATCGTTACAATTCTAAGATCAATCTCTTGGCTCTGGCCCAGCGAAACAGATAGTAAGTAGCCTCCACATCATGCAAGGCAATACCCACCAGGGCGATCCAAAGTACTATGTACTCATCAATAAAGCTGTTAAAGTACTGGTCCAGGAACAACAGGGCCGGGCCTATGAACGCCGTGTCGTGCAGGTGCATCTCGCTCTTGGTCATGTGTGCCACCTGGGGACAGAGGAGAGTCCGTGAGGCACGCGCTTCCGCCGTTGCAATTTCCAAAACTAAAACACTGACACCACAAAGTGTGTGAGAGCTACACACCAAAGGGGTCTACCATGTCAATCAACTAAGCCCCCCAAAGCTGCTTCTCACAAGGAGCCTAATTTGAGGGGACAGTTCGAGACGGAAGGATGCAGACGAACAAAACCACCGAACGCGACTGTGGAGAGAAACTGCAGCGGTTCCCGGAGCTCCCGATCACCTTGCCGCAACTTCGCAGGAGACGCAGACGATGCAGACGGCGCCCACGCTGGTGTCGGAGGTGCTGGAGGGAGGGGCGCAAACGCCAGACCCCCTCAGCACACTACGGAATGAAAACCACGGCCACAGCATCCAAATCAGACGGAAACGAAAAACGAAACCTTTCATGCTTACCACGAGCTTATTGGTGATCTTGGCAGACACAAAACCAAACGTCAGTATGTAAAGGCAGGGGTGCTTCTCAAAGAGCTGGACCGCCGACTTCTTGTAGATCATCACGGCCAACGTGATCACGGAGCCGATGTGCAGGAAAGGCGAGAGAACACTGGTTCCCTGGGCGGGGCAGAGAGGAGAGGGGCCCGGCACTCGCTGGGGAGCGGCACTCGCTGGGGAGCGGCTCACGCTTCTCAGACCCCAGGGGGCTCGACGGCTGTGCGCGGTCTCTCTAACGGGGCTTCAGAGCAGCCAAGGAAACATGGCAGGCTGCATCAGTTACGCACAAACTGAGGATTCTCCTTTTACGAGGGCAGGCTTATTTTTTAAAGAAGGTCATATTTTTTAACATATATGCATATAAAGTGTGTGTGTGCACCACAAAAATGTACATATAAGAACATACATGTATGCATATATAAATAAATCTGAAGTTTTGGATAGCACTTTTTTTTTAAGACTGAGTGGAAACTCCCAGTTACAACTGATTTCGCACAATTCGAACGAAAACCGAAATGACCACAGAACCATAAGCAATCACTGGGAATCCTGAGAAATACTCACAGCGATCGTGGAGCCGTTTTTCCCAACTCCACCCGTGAAGATCACACGGAAGTAATTCGTGCAGGAAAATATGGTCCCTGCTACAGTACACAGTGCAGGGAAGATTTTCACTTGGATATTCAGCACTGGAATCTTTAGCAGGCAGAGAGAAAGAACAATTAAAATACATTCAAATTAAAATAAGAAAACAGAACGGTCAAATATTCGATTCACACTCTGAGTTGTTCGACATGCCCTCCAGTTTACTAAACACTTAAATCAATGGCAGTTTCTCTCCCCTTTCCATTTATAAGCAAATAACAAGTCTCAGATGAGGCTAGACAGAAATTAACCCCACTTCCGACATCAACTAGAAAAAAAGGACCCAGCTTTGTTCACCAGAGTCACACTATAGGTCAGGCTCGCCCACCACGTCCCAGAAGTCTGGCTGCAGTGACGCAAGCCGTCCTCTGGGGCTGACCCAAGCCGTGCCCTGTGCCTTCTTCGCTGCGCACTTTTCACCGACCTCTACCTGTAATTCAGTACTAATTGTTACGCTAGGTAAAGCACGCATCATAAAAGACGAGAAACTTTGCAACTAGATTGAAAAAAATCTGTAAACCAGAGAAGAAAAGTGAAGACCAAAGTTCTCCTCAGAAGAGTTCCCAGGCCAAACTGTCAGGGTGCAGGCAGCCGGAAAACCAGCGGGCAGCAGAGAAGGCGCTGGCATGCGGGGAGGGGGAGGGGGCGGGCGGAGGGGCACAGCAAGCACAGCCAGGTAGGGGGACAGAGCCACAACTGGGTGCCCAAAATCCTCTTGGAGAAACCGACTTTTCAGGAGAAGTAAGTGATACATTTCTATAGCATGCTGAAAATGATGGATTTCCCCAAAATAAGGGGGAATGAAGAGATTGAGATCGTGTGTTAATCTGGCAAGTACAAATCCATCATTTAAAATGAAATATACTTGTACTAATGCTTAAAACCATTTGAGACTCTCTCCCTTTCAATACCTCCCCTTCAGCTTTTCCGAAGTCTGGGCTCTGGCCCAGCTCTAACGGAAGAGGAAGCCAGAGTGAAGGGGCATCGTCTCACGGTGCAAACAAGTGGCTGTAGGGACGAGACCCCAAAGCCTGCGGCACTTTAGTAGGTAGTGAGTTCTCATAATAAAGTCATTTTAACGAGGGCTGTGTACGTGTGTTTTCTTCAGGGCAGCCATCTGCCTACACTTTCAAAATCAAATAGGAAGTGTGAAGTTTCCTATTTGCGTGCATAAAACTGCAGTACAATTGGTAGAGATGTAAATCTTTATGTTTAGATCATCCATTTCTTCCACATTCTCAAGACCTCAGTTTGTTTACACAACTCTGTGACCTCTTGCAAAACTGTAGCTCAAAAAAAAAGAAAAAAGAAAGAAAAAAGCTGAAACCAACTGTTCAAATTTCAAGTTGTCCTGTGGCAGCGCTGAAGTCTCTACAATGCAGTGGGCCCACTTAAAGCGCCAGCCCAGAACCCACGGGCCACGCTCAACAGTGGTCTTCCTTTCCTAATCATCTCCAAACCCCACACACCCAAC